GTCGCCCGGGCGGGGCCGCGCAGCAGACGCCGGCATCTCCGGCTCCGCCTGGCGCCGGGTGGGGCGCACCAGACTGTGCCTGCTCACGGCCGGGGCGCAGCGGGCCTCGGTCCTACTCGTAGATGCTCGGCCAGGCTCGGCCTGCAGCCGGCAGATGAAACGCAACCAGGCTCCGCCCCTTCAGGAGGGAACCAATGGCAGTGCTGATTTTCTCCTCCGGCCAATCGGGGTTGAGTGGAGAGCGAGGCTAAGGATATAAAATGCCCAACCCAGGTAGAGGGGGAGATCGGCCCAGGTGTAGGTGGAGCTCTTCCGCCAGATTGGGCCTGAGGCGTCCTCCCTGGTGTAGTCTAATCCGGAGAAAAATTCCCGTTCAACCAGGTAGAGTTGAAGACCCAGAGTAACCCACTGATGAGGACCAGGGCGCTCCTATCCCAACTGGATTTTGTCAGAGGGACTATAGGAATCAACAGCAAGTAAACAAAAATGAGTATGAGGAGAGAGGAGCAGACCCTCATGGAACTGTGGAGATTTAAATTGACTTCGAAGAGCTTCCTGAGGGAAGGCTAAACTCTTAACTTCCATGAGGGCGGGGACCATTGTTTGCGTGTCCATTGTACCCCAGGCCTAGCATAGTGCCTGGCACATGGTGTGCCCTCAATAGATATTCATTGAATAAAAGAATGAGTGACTCAATAAATGAGTGAATGAGGTAGAAGAGAAAGGTTAAAGCCAAGAACACGATGGAAGTGCCACTAGAATGTTTCATGGAGGGTGGGGGAGGGGAGGGTGACTGACGAGGAAGTGACAGGTTTAGCATCTATTCTCCACAGAGATCCAGAACTCTACCAAAGGCCAAGGAAGGGCTGTGCCCCGGCTCCCCGGGGCTTGGAGACCCGGGTCCTGAGGTGCACCCTGAGGTGGACCCTGAGGCGAGCGCCTCGCTCCGTGAGCCGCAGGCCTGAGGGGGGCGCCTGCCGCTGCGCAGGCGCGCGCGGCGAGCGGAAGGGCCAGGTAATGGGGTCTTTGCCTCGCACAGAAAGGGAGGGCGGCGGCGCTTCTCCACGCCTCGGGGCAGGAGACGGGCTGAGGAGGGCCTCGCGGAGGAAACGCGAGGGAAACAGAAGCCACCTCCTAGGTTGTGCTTCTCCAGCTCGCGCCCGCCCCCAGGCGGTGTTGCTAGCGCCGGCCCCGGGCGGGACTGACCCCCGGAGGCCAAAACCCACCGCGGGTCCGGCTCAGCCCCGGGAACACGTTTCTGAGGAGACCAGAGGTCAGGCGGACACTGCCTCCCAGGAGCGCTCTCCCAAGCCTGGGAACTGGCCACGCACGTGTCAGGCGTGGACCTACGACCCACGACACATTGAGGGGCCCACGAAAATGTTCTACCTTCTTGTAAAGTCAGAAGGAAAACATGAAAGAATCAAAGAAAATGTTTTGATTTTTTTTTTTTACGTCAGAAAAAATGAAATTTTTTGAGCCCGAGAAAATCTATTAATTTTTTTTTTTTTTTTTAATGAAAAGAGGATCCGAGAAGACAAAAGTGCTCAGGATCCACGAAATGTTTAATTCAGCGTTTAGCGCTGCGGGAGGGAGAACCATGGGATGATTTATCACACATAAATTGCCCCAAAGGCTATAAAAGCATGGTCTAGGCGCTTTTATGAGGGCAGGTAAGGGGCCCTAAGCTATTAAGACCTGAAGTCTGTTACCTAAAGGATGAGTAGGATTAAGGAAGGGAACGCTCAGAAAAGAACACGACAGTGGGAACCACAGTGAGAGGCCCACAATTTGTGGACTTGAAAGGGGTTCCAGGGGTGGGGTGGGGTGGAAGGGGGCTGGGCAAGGGATAGCATAGCGTGAGGATGGAGAGTTGAAAAGGAGACAGACACATACAGAATTTCGGAGCCAGAGTAAGGATTTTGGATTTTGTCCCAAGGGTAATTGCAAACCACTGAAGGGTTTTTAGTAAGGGAGTAACCTGATGGCTTTTGGTGGTTCAAGGCCCAGTTCCAGGTTTAACCAGTTTGCAGGGGGACACCAGTTAAGTGAGTGTTCTTGGCAAAACGGGAGTGTATAGGATAGGGTCAGATATAGTCAGATGCTGCTTAGTACTATGCCCAGACCCATCAGAGCACTAATTGATTATGCTTGAGGATATAGGGAAGAGAGCTGTCTCTTACCTCATTTAAAGTACAGCCTTAGAATTGCACACAGTGTGGGATCTAAAAATGATTACGCAAGCCAAAACCGTTCAAAGTGATCTTAATAATCAATGGGAAAAATTATATTTGTTCCAAGACCTCTCAAAATTGTTGTCAAGTGTTTAAAACTCTCTTAACGGTCAGTTATAAGTATACAGGGAAATGAAAAAAATAATAAAACTTGCATGTATTTAGCACACTGTAATTTAAAACATTAGGAACATTGAGAATTGAAGTGTTTTATTTCTTTGTAAAAATTATCAATAGTAGTTTGATAATAGTGCTTGTGCTTGTCTTCTTCTCAAGGCATAACTTAGGAGAGAGCGAGCATCTGTTCTATGCCTTAGTAAATTGTTATACTCCTAAGTTTGGATCAGCTTCCAACACTTTTTCCTTTGTGGTTTAATTTTGTAAAGTATCTCCAAGAGTTCCTCTAATATGAAGTTTTTTGCAGTGGCATTTTGTGTGGGACATCTTTTTGTCAGAACCACTTTTTGTTGATAAGTTCATCCTCACTAAGTTCCTTTGGCTGTTTACATAGTCATCAAATGTCATTCTCAATATTCTCAGTCAGCTCTTTCTTCTATAATCCCATTTCCGTTTGACTCAACTTTCAGTATTATATCACTTGCCATTCCTTTGCTACTCTTTTATCCTTGTTGGCCAATTCCCTCTTTGAGCTATCTATTCTGTAAAGTGTCGTGTGGATTTATCACTAGGCGACAAGGAGGTAAAATAACTATACGTTTTGCTCGCTGTACTTAAACTGAATAAGACCAGTCCCTGACAAACTTTGAAAGAAATGACATAATTGATCACTGATCATGATGTGTATCTGTTATTTATGTAGTGATTTGTGGTTTGAAGAGTCAGCTGTGATTTGTACTTTGGGTGATTGCTCACAGTATTCTACGGTAACTGAATTTTTTTTTTGAATTTTTTTTTTTATTTAAAATATTACAGATGTCCCTTTTTCTCCCCAATGATCTGTTCCACCCCGTCCCTTCTCCCTCCCCAGTCCCTCTCCCCACTATTGTCCGTGTCCTGGGGTTGTGCATATATGCATATAAATTCTTTGGTTACTCTCCCCCTCCACCCACCTGCCCTCCTTCATCCCTCTGACATTCGTCAGTCTTATCT